ATGACTGTCTTTCTGGGTTTGGGTTACCTCACTCAGGATGGTTTTTTCTAGTTCCATCCATTTGCCAGACTGCTTCTTAAGAGAAGTTTTAAGTTCACATTGAAATGTATACCATATGCCCAACCCCCACACATGTATAACCTGCCCCATCAACCTCTCTCTCCATACCTCAGTTACAGTTCACAGAGCCACCCTGACACGGCGTGACCGCCAACCTCCGAGTTTATCTCAGGCTTCCCTCCTGATGTGCATGCTGAGTCTGAACAATGCACATGATGTCTGTCTCTGCCGTGCCACGCAGAATCGCTTCACTGCCTCAGCTACTGCACTCTGCCCTGGGTCTCCCTTTACCTCCTAACCTCTGGCTGCCACTCACTACTGTCTGTGTGGTTTCACTCCTAAGGAAAGCCATGACGTTGGAATCATGCAGTGCGGCTTCCGAGGCTTGGCTTAGGATGTGTATTGAAGGTTCTTCCTTGGGCTCCCATGGGCAGTCCGTTCCCTTTCAGCATCTGCTAGGACTCCCATTATCTGAATGTACCACAGTTGGTTGGTCCACTCCCCTCCTCGGGGCATATTGGCCGCTCCTGTGCTCTGGTAACTAAGAATAAAGCCTGGCATCCCTGTGCAAGCTTTTGTGGCCCTGTGAGTTTTCAGGCCTTTTGGGTAAATCCCAAAGAGCACAATATCAAAGCCGCTTCCAAGGTGTTGCCCTTCCACCGGTGAGGTCTGGGGTTCCTGTGCTCGGAATCCCCACCAGCATCTGGTGGTACCAGTGTTCTGAACTTGGCTGTTCCTATGGGTGTGTGGTAGTGTTTCACGTGTTGATTCGACCACACGGGCTATGTGGCATCTTTTCATTGCTTGTTCACCATCTCTGTATCTTCTTCTCCTTCTTTTTGGTTTTTCCAGACAGGGTTTCTCTGTGTAGCCCTGGCTGTCCTGGAACTCTTGCTGTAGACCAGGCTGGCCTTGGACTCAGAGATCCATCTACCTCTGCCTTCAAGAGCGTGCGCCTCCCCTGCCCAACTTGGAGAAACCTTTTGTTGGATGTGCCTTTTGCAGATAATTTACCCCAATCTGAGGCTTTTCAATTCATTGTTTTGACAGTGTCTTTGGAAGAACAGATGTTAAAAATGTTAATGACTTTTCACTTCATCCTTGGTCTTTGGAGTCATGTCGAAAGTCATTGTCCATCCCAGGACCATTTGGGAGCTCTGACTTTACCCGCTATGGTTTTAGAGTTTTACATTTATATTTAGGACGGCCGCCCGTCTCCACTTGGTTTTCGTGACTCCTGCGGTTCCCACCTCTGTTCACCCATGCTGAGCTCCCGGCAGCGCATCAGTAATGGAGTAGGGTCTCGAGTGGCACCCCAGAGTTGCTGCCTCTGGGATCCTGCTTCAGTGAGTTGATCATCTGTCTCTGCCCACCTTTTCAGTTTGGGGCAGCCACCTGCTCCGTGGCTGCAGTTCCCACATTCTGAGAAGAGCTGTTGATGTTTCAGCATGTTCAGACTTACAAGGGCAGAGTGGTGACTGTGGGTCCCTTACTTGACAGCCTGGAAACCAGAAGTCTGCAGATTAATTTGGTTTCATTTTTACCTTTAAATCTTTTTTTTTTTTTTTAAGACTTTATTTTTTTTCCAGAGCTGAGGACCGAACCCAGGGCCTTACGCTTGCTAAATCCCCAACCCCATTTATTTTATTTTATTTTTGGTTTTTCGAGACAGGGTTTCTCTGTGTAGTTTTGCACCTTTCCTGGAACTCACTTTATAGACCAGGCTGGCCTCGAACTCACCGAGATCCGCCTGCCTCTGCCTCCCCAGTGCTGGGATTAAAGGCGTGCGTCACCAACGCCCTGCTTAAATCTAAAGCCCTTCCAAAATTCTCAAACATACAGAGAAACACAGACCCATGGCTTGCTGGTCAGTGCAGGGGCTCTTCTGTTGGCCATTGTCCCAGTTGCTCCCCAGGATTCCTGCACATGTTGTCTTTGCCTGTTTCACTATTTTTTTTTTTGGGGGGGGGGGTTTGTTTTTTTGTTTGTTTGTTTTTTGTTTTTTTCAAGACCGGTTTCTCTGTGTAGCCCTGGCTGTCCTGGAACTGTGTAGATCAGGCTGGCCTCAAACTCACAGAGATCCACCCGCTTCTCCTCCCGAGTGCTGGGATCAAAGGCGTGTATCAACACACCTGGTTCATATTTTAAAAATTTTAACTAGCCAATTAATATATGCTGTTCCATAATATTCAGACTGTCTATAAGTGAAAAGTGAAAGCTACTCTTTTCTTGACAACTTTCCTCCCTTGAGATAGCCATTGCTATTCCTATGCCATGGATTCTTCCAGAACTTTTATAGGTTATTATTTTCACAGGTACTACATTCCTTTGGGTTATTATTTTTTTCTGTCTGTTAAAAATATATATATAAGCAGGAACATGCTGTAAATACTCTCTTACAGCCTGCTTTTGTTTTTACTGATTTATTCATTTATTTATTTATTTTTAGAATAAATACCTTCTTGGGGACTTTTTTTAGTCAGTACTATTGGCTTCATAGTATTCCAAATATTGTATATAGCATAACCAATTTATTTTCTAATGATAAGTATCTCAATGGTATTTTAAAATATTTTTAAAATTATTTATTTATTTAGTTTATGTGCGTTGATGTTTTGCCTGCATATTGTCTGTGTGAGGGTGCCAGATCCTCTGGAACTGGAGTTACAGACAGTTGTGAGCTGCCATGTGGGTGCTGGGAATTGAACCTGAATCCTCTGGAAGAGCAGTCAGTGCTCTTAACCACTGAGCCATCTCTTTATCCCCTAAAATATTTTTATTTATGTGTGTGTGCAGGTGCCCAAGGAGGCTAGAAGAAGACTTGGGACTCTGGAGCTGGAGTTAGAGGCAGCTGGGAGCTGCTGGGATCGAAACTCGGTCCTCTGGAAGGACTCTTAACTGCTGAGCCTTCTCTGCAGCCCCTCTTTGAGCATAGTGAACATTCGACCATAGTGAACATTCGACCATAGTGAACATTCGACCATAGTGAACATTCGACCATAGTGAACATT